GACAGTGCTGACATGGCAAATGGATTTCACATCTAAGTACGACCTGGGTGTCACCTGGGATTTTGGATTTGCTGGCGGGGAAATACATTACCAAAACCAACAAGATGGAAGTCTGTGCTCATAAACACAGATGTTCCTAAGGTGATTGAAAGGAAGATGAATGAATGTGCTGAACTATTTAAAGGATCCTAAGCATAAAGTCACTGCACTTATTGTTGAATAGTGTAACACTTAGGAAAGAGCCTAATGATCTCTGGGAAATATTGGGCCTTTGAACCAACCAAGAGCACAAAAATATGTCGGTCCAACCATACACCATCTTCTCAGTCACAAGAAACTGCTGCTATAGGTTGTGTGCCAATTAAAAATAAATTATTTTTATATTTTTATATATAAAATATATATAATATCAGAATGTCCCCCCACAGGCTATGCACTAAAGCCTTGCTCCTTGGCTTGGTACTACTGGGAGGATGGAACCTTTAAGAGGCAGGGCCTAGTAAGAAGCCTGGTGTCACTGGGAGCGACCTGGAAGGGGATTATGGGACCCTGGTCTCTTCCTGTCTCTTTTGCATCCAGACCATGCTCAGCCATGTGTTCCCTGCCACGATATGCTGCATTGCCGCAGACTCAAAAGTCACAGGGGTGCCTGACTATGGCTGAACCTCCACAGCTATGACACAAAGCAAACCTTTCCTCTTTCTAAGTTGATTAGCTTAGGAATTTGTTACAGTTATGGAAAGTTAAGGCAGGAGGTAAAACCACATATACTCAAAGAATACAGCAAAATGTTCCCAGAGAGACTTTTTAGTTACCATCCTCTCCTGATTAGTGGATGCCTCCTCAACATAACACTCGATAGCTACTTACCGAGAAGTCATCTGTAGGATGTGCTTGGGAAGCTCTCAACTTGGATATTAAATGTTTCATGCTTAGCTTATGAAATCCTCCTCTCCTGGCTCCTTATTCAGTTCAGATTTCTGAGTGAATTTTCCATTTCAGCCTAGGTTAGGATGCTGTTGACTCCCCTTGGGAAATAATGTCAGGTAACATGTCCAGGGTAGGACCACGGCAATGCCAGTATGACTGGAGTGAATGACCACAGTCAGGGAGAGTGTACCAGGCCATGTCCTTAAATGTCCTATGAGTTACTCTCAGATAGCTTCAGTGTACCAGAAAGACACAGATATACAGATACATAGTTTGTGTAAACGCACTTTCTGGTGGAACTGGCTCTCAACTTGTGACAGACTTCTGGTCCTCTGTGAGATTCACTGGGCAAGCTCACATGCACATTTTAAAAGGATGCCCTTGACCTTTCCTATGTCAGAAATCTACATTCAGTTGGAATGAGGCTGTTTTTCCTTTCCAAAATTTCCTGCTCAAATACAGTCAAGGTCAAAGAACTAAACTCCACAAAACACAAATGCAGTGTCTACTGGGGAGACTCAAAGGGCTTAAAAAACCAAAAGTAACAGTATTTAGTGCTGCAACAAGCAGAGCCGGGAGGGTGTGAGGATCATTTAAGGCTGCATTATGCGTTATCATTCAAGGCTGCTTCCCTCCACCCTCTCACTAAAGTTCAGAGAGGACCCTGAACACACACTAGGCCACAGAGGGAAAGAGCCTGCCACGTATTCTGGAAGAGAAGCCTGGATCAGTCCCCGCTTCCAGGCACCTAGTAGATGTCCAGGACTGCTCCACTCGGTAGGACGGAAAGCCGAGTCGCTGGGGTGAGCCCAGGTTGTCAGCTCCTTGCTCCCAGCCCCTTGGTCCCAGTGACTTCAAGTGGCACATTCTCCATCCTGGGAGCCATCAGCCCTGGCCTCATGGGGATTGGCCAGTCAAAGGCCAGACTGCAGGCAGCTCATGATTGCTTCCTGTTGTTCAGTTACTACAGCCACAGTGCCCTCCTTTCACCTACAAACCCAGGTCCCACACATTTCATTCAGTTCCGTGATGCCGCAAAAAGCAAAAATTGCATTTCCATACCCAACTGGGTCAGAGAATGAAAACTCTTAGCTGACTAAAATACACCAAGCCTATGAGGCCAGAAAGCCGAAATGTGAAAACCTGAGAAGTAACTTCCGGGGAGCCCTGCGGTAGTAACCTCCCAAAGATGAAATAAGATGGCTCCAATTCCCTGTGGTCACCACCATGTGGACGCCTCAAGAGCCACAGAGGTCCAGGGAGGTCTTCGCCCCTGGGCCAGAGCACAGGAAGAACACAGCAGGTAGGGGGACAGTCGGAATGGATGCCCTCTGCATCTAGAGCGGGAGGAAGTGCTCAGCCCTCAGAGGAGGTCTATGGGTAACAACAGCTGCCCACTCCCAGCTGCCCTGGGAATTAGGGAAGGCAGCCGAGCCAGAGCCCTTGCAGCTGGTGCCCAGAGATGCCAGCTGGCTCCAGAGCTCCATGGGCTCCCTACCTAGTCTGAGACTAGGTTGTCTACCTTCCTTCACAGACCTGGGGTGCATTCCGTAGCAGCTGCCACATGTCTAGCTGCTGCTTGTGAACCCCTAAAGACGACAGCCCACACTGCATCCAACCTCCATGATCCAGGGATCCACAGAAACACTTGGTTGTACGGAAGCAACTAGGCTTTCCTTAGTGGAGAACAGCACCACTCAATCTCTGGGGAGAACTCAGTTTTTAATCACTAGAGCAAGGTAAGATTTTAAGGCTTATTACATAAGCAGAATGACCCTCACACAAGGTAAGGTTAATATTGCTGATAGAAAGCACCAGTTGCATTGTGGGAATTTTGTTATCAGGGTGTATATGAGTTTTGATCCCTTTCAGGAAATTTACTCTAAATACTTCATGACTGGTTAGTTTCCTTTGAAATAACTTTTTAAAAACAAAAACTACTTTGACTTCCTTTATGTTTATTATACAATGTTTGTTACACAATGTATATTATAAAATGTTTGCTACAGCCTGTGGATATAGCTCATTGTAAAGGAGTTGCCCAGTATGCACAAGGCCCTGGGTTCAATCACCACCAGCAACAGCAATGAAGTTTGCTGTTAATCTACAAAGAAGCTAGGCCTGATGGCACACACCTGTAATTCGAGGAGGCTGGGGCAGGAGGATCACTGCAAGCTGGAGACCAGTGTGAGCTACCGAGTGAGCTCAAGGCCAGCCTGAACTGCAGAGTGAGACCCTGTCTCAAAAAAAAAAAAAAAAAAAAAAAAAAAAAAAGCTACAAAGAGAAGTTGGCACATTATAAAACAATCATTTAAAAGATCTAATCATTTAAAAGGCCAGATGGGTGTGGTGGTGTATGGCTCTAATCCCAGCACACTAGCAAGCAGAGAGAGGCAGATCACAAGTTCGAATCCAGCCTGGACAACTTCATGGGTTAGTAAGACCCCATCAATCAGTAAAATAAAATGAAGGGCTGGGGTTGTGGCTCAGAGAGAAGGCCCTGGGTCCAAAACCCAGTAGTACTGAGAAAGACTGAAAGACAGAGACAGACAGACGGACAGAGACAGACAGACAGACGGAGACAGAAAGAGAGACTCACACAGTGGTAGTACTTTGAAAGGCTCCACGTGTTAGCAGAAAAACTGGGCTGCTCTAAATATTTTACTAAGTTCTGAGCTTTTGGAAAGTTGGCCTCCAAGACATAGACAGAGCAACGCTGCGTTTCCCCCGTAACAGCTATGTTGGATGTGCGTTAGCTCATGAAGCAACTCTTTGTAAAGTCAGAGGAATTCGAACTATATTTTTAGCAATCAGTAAGACTAGAAAATCTGTTGTATTTACTGTACTTTAAAAAAATCTATGTCTTATCTACTTTACTGAAGTGAGGCCTGGGAATACAGCTCAGTGGCGAAGCATCTGCCTGGCAAGCGCAAGGTCCTGAGTTTGATCCCCGGTACCAAAAAAAAAAGAAAATTGTCATATTGTCCTGAAGTGGGCCCCTAATTTAAATTTTGCTGTGATAATGGAGATTGAACCTAGGCACAGGCCACACATGTTCAACCACTGAGGTATACTCCTAGCCCCCTAATATATTTTTAAAAAACAAAAACCAAAAATAAATATGCTGATATCAATCAGCATATTCTAGCTGTTATATGCTACACAAGCTATCAATATTTTTCAGCTAAAATGTACTTACAAATGCATATGAAAAACTTTTTTGTTTGTTCTTTTTTTTTTTTTTTTTTTTTTTTGTACTAGGAATCGACCTCAGGACCTCGAGCTTGCCGTGCAGGTGCTTCTACTGCTGGGATATATCCCGGGCCCAAGAAAAACTTAAAATGCATTTCCTGGGTGTTAGGCGCTACTGTGTAATAATGTACTTTTCTCTGTGGTACAGGAGAGTGATGCCAGAGCCCTGAGCCTGCTGGGTGAGCACTACCATTGAGCTGTATGCGCAGCCCTTTTTTCCAGATTTTAATCTGAGACAGGGTTTAGTTGCTCAGGGTGGCCTTGAGCTTGTGACCCTTCTGCCTCAGCCTTCCAAGTAGCTGGGATGCATATCTGCCTGCAAGGAAACACTTTAAAGAAATGTTATACCAGACGCAAAAACACCTGCGCACTGCATGAAAGGCATTGACTGCTTTTGTAATTAATAACAGAAAAAAAGGTGTCACTCTAATTTATTGCTATAGAAGTTTACATTTGTAATGCATACTGCAATAGTGGTTTTGACTGTTATACATTTTTAAAAATTCATATAAAGCGTAGTGCTTATTCCAAGTATAAGTGACAGCCAGGTACCTTGTGATGCTTCCCGTCAACAAATTATTATTTTAAAATTTCCCCATGATTAGTTAACCTTTGGTAACACTGCACAAAGGGAAGTCTCCAATTCAAAGTTCAAACTAAATATTTGTAGAGCTAAAGACACCCCATTTAAAGGCAAAGAAGCCTGGAGATAGAGCTGAGCGTAGAGTGCGTGCTTAGCATGTCTGAGGGCCTGCGCTCGATCCCCAACACACACACACACACACACACACACACAATAAAGGCAGAAAGCTATTCTGAAATTTGATGCCGAGACGGGTCCATATTTCAGTGACTGTTATTATCTTCTAAGTGAAAGAAAGCAGCAGGTGGGTTTCCCCCTCCCATACATAATAACTGTTCTTTTGGTGCCTCAGTGTTTAACCAAGATTACTGGGAGTAGTGTAAACAGTTTGCCTTTTCTCAGAGGAGGTTTATTTTAAGAGGTAAATCCGCTAAAAGGTTAACTGCCTTGTTAACCACAATTCTCAACACAGTGTTAAGAATACAAAGCAGGGGTTGGGCACGCCATACAGGGCCAGACAGTAAATATTTCACACTCTGCATATGGTCTCTGTCGCATCTACTGAACTCTGCATGGTAGCAGGAGGGCGGCTGTAGGAAACACATAAATAAACGTGCATGGCTGTGTTCCAGTAAAAGTTTATTTAAGGATGCCAAATCTAAATTTCACGTAGTTCTCTTATGTTGCAAAGCAGGACCTTCTTCTGGGTTTTTTCAACTATCCAAGCCATGCTTGGGCCCACCTACCAAAAGAGGCTGTGGGCCCAGTTTCGCTCATGATCTTTTATACCCCAACTCCCATCGATCAGAACAATGAAAATCTTCCTCCTTCAAGGCCACCATCCCCAAACTAATAAATGATACTGAAAACCAGGAAATTTTTAAAAATATAAATCACCCAAGGAAGTAATACCCAACGTGTGGTGGAATCAGGTCCCTTCCAGGATACCCAGCTGCCGGATCTGGCTTGGCCACCTCATCCGGGCACCCAAACCCACCAGCAGCAGGGCGGGAAGGCCTAGGCCCTGGCCCTGTGCCTTTAGGACCCATGCTTCATGAGCCAAGTTACACGGCCTGACTGCGGCTCTGAGAGGGACAAAAAGCCCCCATCCCTTGCGCTTGGCATCGTTTCTGCCTGCGAATGGCACAGCATGGATATTAGGTGCTCATCTGCACAAAGGGCTGGAGTGTGTGCCACTGGTCCCTGCAGCTCACAGCCACGCCTGTGTTACTCGGCCCTCGAACCCACCCAGCAGCTATCACAGCCGGGACAGAACACTTTCTAAAGGCAGTCCCAAGAAACGTTCTGCCCGCGTGGGGAAATCTGCGCCCTTCCACACCAGTCAGGAGACCAAAGAAGGGAACCCTGTAAGTGCCTCGTTAACAATTCCTAAAGTGGTCGGTGTCATCAGCAGATGGCCTGAGCGCCAAGGCCCCCAAACTGCTCCAAAGCCAAGGTACAGTGCAAACAGGTGTGTGCAAATGACCTTCACTTTTTAAGGGGACACTCGTCCACCATTTGCACATGTAAATAGCGTCGAGTCTGGGCAAACATTGCCCAGATCCCAGGTAAAACAAAGGACAGTGTGCCCCACCCCATCCCAGTTTTCTCGGCGATAGGGTGTGGCGTTCTCCCATTGCGCCTTCCCCAGTACGTGCATCACGAGCGGGCGCTGTGGCAAAGGCGAAAATACTGACACCTGAATTAAAAACAAAATCCCCTGAGAGCGCAGAAGCCGGGAGGCATTTTCCCTTGGGGATTTCTTCTGAGGCAGGCAGGGGGTTCTAGAATTCAGCTAGGAAGGTCCACAAGAAGACTTGGGACCAGGCCCACGCGCATTGGCCCGAGCTGCAAGTTCACAGTTCGGCAGTGTCCTCCGTTCCTCCACGCTCCCCTCACGCCAGATCGACGACGTTCAGCACAGCGTCCCTGCGCAAACCCGGAGCAGTGGCTCCCCGCGGTGTCCCGAGCTCAGAGCGGGTCCGTGGAGCTCACGTAGCGCAACGTGTAGTTGGCACCCGCGTTGTTGTCCCAGAACTCGCCCTGCGCGCAGCGGTAGCAGACGGCGAAGTGGACCGCGACATCCTGCGCGTGCCCGCCCTCGCCTTCCCGGGGCTGCAGGCCGGGGGGCAGGCACAGCGAGAAGCAGAAGCGCTCGGTCACGGGCTCCTCCTCGGCATCCCCCGACCCGGCTCCGGGGGCCCCCGACGGCGCGCCTGGGGTCGGTGGCTCGGGCTGCAGCTCGGCGGGCACGTCCAGGAAGGTGCGCCACTCGGTGAAAGTGTAGCGCACGGTCACGGCGCTGGGGCCCGGGCAGCGCAGCACACGCCCGAAGCCGG